TATCTGTTATTAAGGTTGATAATTTTTTGGCTCGATTCAGTAATTCTACATTGTATTGTTTAAATGTCTATGTATAGAGTGACATCATAATCCTGCATATCCACGTAATGAAACATCGATTCTAGCGAATACAAATTTATAATACGTTTTTAATGAAGCAAATTTTCAAATAATAACAAAAGTACACACACAAACAAAATGTAAAGACAACTAGCTCGTATGGACCAGGCTTTAGAAATTTGTTGATGAAAAGATTGACGAACAGACAGGTTTATTGATTCGCAGTTTTCAAAGAAACATATGTTTAGAATTTAGTATAAATATCTGCATCAAATCTAACTTTCAACAGTGTTTCCAAACGTTTCCACAAATCTTGTCAAGTCAACTATTAATAGCTATGAATAACCTATTATGTTCCGTATTGGTATTAGCCGTAACAACACTGATTCTTATTGATGCCGGTAAATATTGATCTTTTCTATTTTATGGTGGTATATATTTATTTGATGTTTTCTGATTTGAATAAGAACTTTTTCGTAATCAGCCTTTTAACTGTATTTGAGAAGACGTTCTGGTTTGTTTGAGACCATAGTTGTTCTGCAGCCCCGGTAATTAATACCACACTTACCAACAGGGACTAAGCGTCAGTTTTATAGTGATATTTCACACGTAGCCCACGATATCGATCTTTGACAATATATATCTCAAAATGACAATCTTGAGTTTAATAAAATATTCTCAGGTATTACTTCATATTCGATACAAACAAGGGAACTGTGTTTGTTTCACTCAGCATCTCTTCTTGTATATGAGAATTGTTTAATGTCGAACACATCAGTAGAATTCAGTTATCGCCTTCTAATAATAACATCCGATAATCTATATAAAACGCTAACATATCAAATTTAAATCATCTTCTCCAAATAAACCACCTGTAATTCTGCGAGGTATAACGGCCTGCTTATTCGTACATATGGGACGTTTCGTACAGAACAATAAGAACTCTGTCCTAGGTCGTTTCGTAACATAATAGCAATTATGACTTTTAATATATAACAATAATAATAGAATGTTAAAAATAGAATGTTAGCATGAGTAAAATACATAGAATTATATAGACTCTATCTCGAAAGTATTTCTTAATCTATATTTCAGATTGTGATTACAAGTATACAAATGCTACATATGTATATAATGTTCGAGGTTATTTAGGACCAAAATCAAAACAATCAGAATGTAATGAATTCTGTAAAAAAGATACGCGATGTTCCGCCTCTGTAGTTTTGTTTGGTAGATGTATTTTTTATCCATCACCACTCATTGCGATGTTTTTAAATAAAGATCTGAACCAATGTATTACAAATTGTTCCGAGACGAATGAATGTCTAATGTTGAATTATTATAAAGGTCATGTAGGAGAGACCTGTGTGTTGTATAGCATTACTCTGGACGAGCTATCTGATGGGGATACTATGAAACATCCTAGGGCTATTGTAGTGGAAAAAATCTGTAATTAATTGATATAACTCTGGTATAACATGTTTATCATGATATAACTCTATTGTAACATGTTTATCATGATATAACTCTATTATAACATGTTTATCATTATATAACTCTATTATAACATGTTTATCATGATATAACTCTATTATAACATGTTTATCATTGTATAACTCTATTATAACATGTTTATCATGATTTAACTCTATTAAAACTGTAAGCATGATAAAATTGGCATTTTTATTGAAGTGGCGTAGAAGAATTGTATTCACGAGGGAGGGAAATTGACATTTGAGCGCCCCAGCAGTTCTTTGTGGAATTAAGATGGCACAGGGTATGGTGTGGGACAGTGTAATGTGGGGACAGTGGGGTGGGGGCTCTGTTCGGAAAATTTTCTGATCTAGAATTGTTTAGGTGAAAGTAATAAGAAAATTCAAGTCGGCAGTGCGGCATGGTAGATCCAAGCCGATCCTCAGATATGTAATATTGATCCCTGTTTTATTAATGATCATGACAGTGTGTACATGTTTTGGTACGTCGCAAGCATTTCCCAACATTTCCCAGAATTTTCAAACGAAAATATTTCAGACAACCCTTACCGATAAAGATCTTTAGATTTCACATAAGATCGGATTAAAACTGTTCTCTCCGTCGTGTCTCAAAGCTACATATTATGGGGATATTCACCATTGGCCCTCCGAATATATCCCCCCCCCCCCCTAAACCGAAACAGCTGGTGTAGAGACAGAAATCATAAGCCCTGTTAAATGAGGACAATCCGCATCTCCGGGATTTTTAAACCTATTTTGATACGGATCTGAAAAACCCCGGTATATATGGAAAGATTAATATTTTTGTAATTCAGTCATACCATCATTTGCTCCCTATACCATTTATGTCATGTCTCCGGTTCCATCAAAATTTTATTTTGGCGAAACTGATCTAGCATCGGCCATTTAAAACTGCGTGCGCAACCAAAGGTTCAAAGGTAACAGAGTCACGTGATACTACCAAAACGAAAGTTATGGTGATGCCCAGCACTAATTAACAATCATCTTAAAGGTTATTCAATATTATGTTAGTTGTTATGTTGGAGGTGTGGAAAATCCCCATTTAATAGGTTCTTTTTCTCCTGACTCTACTCCAGCTGACAACTGTTCCAATATCCATCAGAGGCTGGAATAGAGGCAGATTTTTAAGACATACAATATCGATGAGCATCAAGATATCTACTGAAAGGCCTGTCTTCCATTCTGCCCCTCATTGACAATACAAAAAAATACGTGGCTGCTCCGTCAACTTCCCTGCAGTAGACAGTAGACTATAAATAGGATGACTTACTTATTTTTGATTGGCTGTTCTCTAGGACGCCTCTATTGTTAGTATCAGTTCATTAGCGTTATGTTAAAATTTTATGTATTTATACGCCTATTTAGTGCCTCAAGTTGTTGTTATATTAAATAAATATTTAAACAAGTATTTGAGTTGATTTAATTATAAGGAATGACCTGAACTTTTTTTCATTTTATCTATGTATACACAGGACAAAAAACTGTGTACACTGTATACATCGGTTTAGAGGGATTTGAAAAATACCGTATTTGATTTGATTATTCTTTACTGTCAGTCTGTCGCTGAAAAAAACATAGTGATGATTAGGTTAGATTTGATGAATTAATCAATCGAAGCAAGCGTTAAGTATATGCAGCTATAAGTGCAAAGGGAAGTAACTTAACTGATCAATTTCATTACTGTAACTATACACTTTACAACTTCGCCCCTATATTACTTGCCCCCCCCCCCCCTCGGAAATATTACTTGTCCATTGGAACAATCAGGTCTGGCTGTGGGTCAACTCTACTTCGACAATCTTATAACAGTAGTAAAGGGAAGTAACTCAAATTGTTAGGTTTAATATTAGTGGTGGGTTCCGACATTTCTGTCAATTCTATAAACCATTTACCTCATTTGCAAAATAAAGTATTATCTCCCTTTACTTTTTTTTTATAGCGGGTGAGGTCAAGGGTATCTAGAGTCTAAAGGTTGGGAATTTAAAAGGCTCTATAGTGTCAACAATCCACTTTTGACACCTTCCTCTATAAATGAAGGAAGGAAACTACCATGATCTCTTTCGTGTCTTCAATTTTAATCCCCACTCTATTTTCAACAAATATAAAGATATGACATTTTCACGGTTTTGCCTCAAAATAAACAAACGAAAGTTTTCTAAAATTTTCATGTATATCGTGAACACTGATATCATCAATTTACACCATTTCAATTTTCAATTGACAATTCTACATTCTTATCTCAAAGTTTTGTCACTACCTCCCAACAATTTCTTTTTTCTGCTCATGATTTGATTGCCGTCATTCTTGATCTCCGGCGTGATATGCCATAACCTATGCTCGGTCGATTTTGTTATAAAATATTCGTACTATATTACTCTATTGTTGCAGAACAGTGGAGGTATTCACCCAAATCCTGAGCCAAATGATTACGACATCAGTCCCCTCCATTTAAATAGTCGTGGTATATCAACCAACCTCATTTCTTTACAAGCTGAATTACCTGACTGTGACGTTCTCACCTTCTCTGAAACGTGGCTTGGTGACACAACTCCCTCCAAGAAACTGAAAATCGAGTCATATCACCCACTAATTGTATTAAACTGCGATAGCCTTGGTGGTGGGATTGCTATCTATGTTAAAGATAATATTATAAGTAAACCTTGCTTTGACCTGTGTGTTCCTGGCTTTGTATGGACTGAAATTGTTCACTGTAAATTAAGGTTTTTGGTTGGTGCATTTTACAGGCCTACGGGGTCGTATGTTTCCTTCCGGGATCTCATCGAAGAAAGTTTATCATTGGCCAAGGAAGATGGCAAACTTCCGCCCTTGCTTTCGGAAAATCGAAAAATTATAGGCCGGGGCGTGTACTGTATATCGATGCACATAATACTGGGGCGTGTACTGTATATCGATGCACATAATATTGGGGCGAGTACTGTAAACTGATGCACATGATACTGGGACATGTACTGTATACTGATGCCCATAATACTGGGGCGTGTACTATATACTGATGCACATAATACCGGGGCGTGTACTATATACTGGTGCCCATAATATTGGGGTGTGTATTGTATACTGATGCACATAATACTGGGGTGTGTACTGTATACTGATGCCCATAATACCGGGGCGTGTACTATATACTGGTGCCCATAATACTGGGGCGTGTACTGTATACTGATGCCCATAATACCGGGGCGTATGCTGTATACTGATGCCCATAATACTGGGGCGTGTACTATATACTGGTGCCCATAATACTGGGGTGTGTACTGTATACTGATGCACATAATACTGGGGCGTGTACTACATACTGATGCACATAATACTGGGGCGTGTACTATATACTGATGCACATAATACTGGGGCGTGTACTGTGTACTGATGCCCATAATATTGGGCATGTGTTCTGTATATTGATGCCCATAATACCGGGGCGTGTACTATATACTGATGCACATGATACTAGGGGCGTGTACTTTATACTGATGCCAATAATACTGGGGCGTGTACTGTATACTGATGCACATGATACTAGGGGCGTGTACTGTATACTGATGCACATGATACTAGGGGCGTGTACTTTATACTGATGCCAATGATACCGGGGCGTGTACTGTATACTGATGCACATAATACTGGGGCGTGTACTGTATACTGATGCACATGATACTAGGGGCGTGTACTTTATACTGATGCCAATAATACCGGGGCGTGTACTGTATACTGATGCCCATAATATTGGGCGTGTACTGTATACTGGTGCCCATGATACTGGGGCGTGTACTGTATACTGATGCCCATAATATTGGGCGTGTACTGTATACTGATGCCCATAATATTGGGCGTGTGTTCTGTATATTGATGCCCATAATACTGAGGCGTGTACTGTATACTGATGCCCATAATATTGGGCGTGTGTACTGTATATAGATGCCCATAATACATGGGTGTGTAATCTCTGTGCTGCGCATTGTACTCGGGTGCGTACAATACAATGGTACGCAGTATTCTCGAGATTATACTATACACTTTGTTCGCGATATACTGTGGCAGTGAACCCCAGAGGTGAATTTAAAATTCTTGGGGTGAAAATTGGAAAGAGGGGTAATTATACACAAAGGATGCGGGGGGAATTGGGTATTAGTAAATTTGTTTGACCACAGATTGGAGACAATATATAGGGATCTGGTAACCTACAACACTAAACTTAAACATATACTACAATATACATGTTTATGCATGTCGTAGATTTACGCTTTGATAACTCTCACTTATTTTGTTTACTAATTGTATATATTAATGTTCATTAGTAAAAGTGATGCATAAACATTTCATCACAAAAAATATATGCATATTATAGATAACAACTTTGTACTCTCATTAAAATGAATATAAATTAAATATGATTATATATATATATATATAAATGTATAAATTATATACAGAAGTTTTTGTATTGACTGTCTCTTAGTTAGTTTGAATACGAAATAGACATCCCTTGCCTTCAATGCATTGAAACCGACAGTTCTTAATAAGTCCAGAATTCATTGTGAGACTTTGCTAAACTCCCCGTTTGTTATCGAAATGTCAATTCTTTTTAGTTTGTTAACGTATTGTCAATTCTCTTTTTTTCGAAATTTACACACCTTCCTGTGCTTAGACTGCAGTAGTTGCAGCAACCATTCAACTTCTCTAGACCTTCTGTAGTGGCAACGTGTTCCTGAAAAATATATTGGATCATTTTTGCAAAACCGGAAATGCCACAAGTCAACATGTGCAAAAAGTCGAAATTGGCTCTAGAAGGTGCATTTTTGCATCGATTTTCTTCGGGTTTTCATTTTTACAATCTATCTGTAATTTCTGACCTGATAGCACTTGAAAAATTACGAAATTCGAAAACTCGTAGCTCACTTTTTTCGATAAAATTTTTCAATTTTTTTGCAACTTTTTTGTTTTTGCATCGATTGATCTGAAATTTTAAATGCAAAGAGACTTCACTGATGTACATGATATGGTACAGTCCAATTTTGTACTTCACATTTCCACTTTTAAACAGGAAAGCGACTGAATTTCAAATCTACTACCGGTTGAATAACTTCCGGTGTAATTTATGTAGGTCAACAAAATTTAGCTGATCTTTAGCAAACAAAATCCATTCCGGAATTGATACTTTGGCCGCGATTTTGATTTTCCTTAAATGCGTCAAAATCTATTCCGAGAAGACGGCTTATCAAATTTAGATGATTTTGGTGTCAAATGAAAGAACACAAAAAATAAATAAGCTCAAAGAAGCTCGATTTTTTATTTTCCCTTTTGCTTTTTTGCAATTTCCCGTTGAAATTTTTAAAAGTTTAAAGGCCAATTTCTCATGACCTTGACCATTGATGACCTTGACCTTTATTAGATGAAAGTTCATTGACCTTGGCTATCAGCTGATACTTTCATATTTGATCTCTGACAACTACTTCCGGTTTTATCGATGTCCGAATACCGCTATATGACCTAGAAGGTTATTTTTTTTTCGGAATCTTAATGTGCTTTTCATGCTCTTTCCAGTGATATATAACAATCGTTTTTCAAAAGCAAAATTTCGTGATTTGTTTCAAATTTGCGTGTTTTTTACAATATTTCTGTCTCTTTGAGTTTGGTGTATGTATATCTTATGATCTATTTGATTTAGAACCTTGAAATTTGGAACACAACTAGACATTTTGAATATGGCGTTACCTAAGCCAAATAAATTGATGTGGGCGTGGCACATCCAGGTTGAATTACTAATTGTTTACATTTAGGAGCAGGGGCATATCTTGCATAGTTTACATTTGTTAAAAAGGGACACAATTGCCTCATCCTTTTGGCCAGTTTGTTTTAAAAGCTCACTTGTTTCAGCTTTATAGTTAAAAAAAAGGAACGGGTTTTAGAATTTCCATATTTTCAATTTTTGACATTAACCTTTGATGACCTTGACATTTGTAGGGTCAATGGCCACTATTACTGTGGATGTGCTATGACATCACTAACAATACTGAGTTTAACAGGAGTGATGTTACTAGTGTGCCCAGGTTGTGCTATGATATCACTGACCATACTGAGTCTAACAGTAGTGATGTAACTAGTGTGTCCAGGTTGTGCTATGACATTACTAACAATACTGAGTCTAACAGGAGTGATGTTACTAGTGTGCCCAGGTTGTGCTATGACATCACTAACCATACTGAGTCTAACAGGAGTGATGTTACTAGTGTGTCCAGGTTGTGCTATGACATCACTAACCATACTGAGTCTAACAGCAGTGATGTAACTAGTGTGTCCAGGTTGTGCTATGACATCACTAACCATACTGAGTCTAACAGTAGTGATGTTACTAGTGTGCCCAGGTTGTGCTATGACATTACTAACCATACTGAGTCTAACAACAGTGATGTTACAGTGTGTCCAAGTTGGGCTATGACATCACTAACCATACTGAGTCTAACAGGAGTGATGTTACAAGTGTGTCCAAGTTGTGCTATGATATCAGTAACCATACTGAGTCTAACAGCAGTGATGTTACTAGTGTGCCCAGGTTGTGCTATGACATCACTAACCATAATGAGTCTAACAGCAGTGATGTAACTAGTGTGCCCAGGTTGTGCTATGACATCACTAACCATACTGAGTCTAACAGGAGTGATGTAACTAGTGTGTCCAAGTTGTGCTATGACATCACTAACCATACTGAGTCTAACAGGAGTGATGTTACAAGTGTGTCCAAGTTGTGCTATGACATCACTAAACATACTGTGTCTAACAGGGGTGATGTAACTAGTGTGTCCAAGTTGTGCTATGACATCACTAACCATACTGAGTCTAACAGGAGTGATGTTACTAGTGTGCCCAGGTTGTGCTATGATATCACTAACCATACTGAGTCTAACAGGAGTGATGTTACTAGTGTGCCCAGGTTGTGCTATGACATCACTAACCATACTGAGTCTAACAGGAGTGATGTAACTAGTGTGCCCAGGTTGTGCTATGACATCACTAACCATACTGAGTCTAACAGCAGTGATGTTACTAGTGTGTCTAGGTTTTGCTATGACATCACTAACCATACTGAGTTTAACAGGAGTGATGTTACTAGTGTGTCTAGGTTTTGCTATGACATCACTAACCATACCGAGTCTAACAGCAGTGATGTTACTAGTGTGTCTAGGTTTTGCTATGACATCACTAACCATACCGAGTCTAACAGCAGTGATGTTACTAGTGTGTCCAGGTTGTGCTATGACGTCACTAACCATACTGAGTCTAACAGGAGTGATGTTACTAGTGTGCCCAGGTTGTGCTATGATATCACTAACCATACTGAGTCTAACAGTAGTGATGTAACTAGTGTGTCCAGGTTGTGCTATGACATTACTAACCATACTGAGTCTAACAGCAGTGATGTAAATAGTGTGTCCAGGTTGTGCTATGACATTACTAACCATACTGAGTCTAACAGCAGTGATGTAAATAGTGTGTCCAGGTTGTGCTATA